TTGGGGGGGGGGGGGGGGGGCAGGGGGAGGGAGGTGGGTCGGAAGCCGGTTGGCTGGGTGGACGGACGGTGGGGCAGGGCTGGGGGGAGCAGGCAAGCCGGCCGGGCTACCCCTCCATGGGCCCCCAGGCGACCCTCCCCACTGGCGCGGCACCCCCTCCAGCGCGCGCCTTGAGCTTGCGCGCCGCGGTGAAGAGGATGCCGCAGGCGACCACCTCGGAGCGGTACCGCACGCACAGCGTGGAGCGCAGGCTGTCGTTGGCCATGTTCCACGCCTCCTGCCGCAGCTCCTTGCTGCGGGGGCACGCGGGCAGGAGGGTGGGTGAGGAGGCGGGAGAGGGGGTCACAGACAGCGCGTGCCAGGCGGCGGCGGCGGCTGGGTGGCCGGCGCACGGCGCGCAGCAGGCAGCGCGGGTTTGCTAGCGCGGCCATGACAAGAAGGCGGCTGAAGCGGCCACGATAACAAGGCTGGAGCGACAAGAAGGCGGCTGGAGCGGCCACGATAACAAGGCTGGAGCGGCGGGGGCGGGGGCGCACCCGCACTCCATCATCTGGCAGTAGTTGAGCACAAAGCGGTGCGGGTGGTCCACGTGCAGCACAAAGCCAAAGGCGCGCAGCATGTGGCGCTCCGCCTTCACCGCCTGCTGCTTCATCTCCTCGTACCGCTGCAAGGGCGGAGGAGGGGACGGGAGACGAGGCGTCGACAGTGAGGAGAGGAGAAGAAGGGCACGGAGGCAGAACTACAGGCCTGAAGCACGAGGGCAGCAAGCGGGTGCCTGGCGGCCGCGGCCGGCAGCCAGCTGCCCCGTCGCCTCCTGCCCGCCCGCCAGCTGCCAGCAGCCAGCCAGCCAGCCAGCCAGCCAGGCAGCAGCAGCGACCGCCCAGCGGCGGCGTGCCTGCGAGTAAGGGTCCATGATGGCCAGGGAGCGCCCGTCGCGCCGCCGCACGATGCGGTCGACGACCTGGATGACGGCGCGCAGCGAGAGGCGCTGCGGGTTGTCGATCTCGATCACCTCCTCCAGCTTGCAGGCCAGCCAGAAGGCAGCCATGGCCACGTGCTGCGGGGCAGGGCGGGGCAGAGGGGAGGCAGGGTGAAGACGGGCCAGCTCGCAGGCTAGCGCCGCGACAAGTGGCCGAGATGGACAGCGGCAGCGCACGCGAGGGAGGGCTCCGGCGGCAGCACCCACCGTGACATCAAACTTCTTCAGCGAGCGCTTGCAGTAGAAGCGCTGCACCAGGACCTGGGCGGTGACCGCGACGACCTGCGGCAGGCGCAGCAGCACCGCCGCCTCCGCCACCACGTCGCAGCAGTAGTGGCGCAGCTCCTGCTCCGTGGCCTCGTCGATGCCGTCGGCGCGGCTGGGGCTGGCCGCCAGCGCCTCTGGAGTGAGGTAAAAATTGTCCACACGGGCTGTGTATATCATTGTTCAGGGCCTGCCGTCACGGTGCAGGGAGCCGGTGCCGCCCAGAGCCGCGGCGGGCCTGCCTGCCCTAGAGGTCTCAGGCCAGCCGCATCAGAGTTGGGGGAGGGGTGATGAGACGAGCGGAAGTGGTTGGTGGGGCGGCAGGCCCGTGAAGAGCTGTATAGTAGGGCCGCAAGTGGTGGACGGTCGAGATGAGAGCCAGCCCATGCGGGGCACCCTCAGTGCCAGCGAGGACCCAGGCTGCATGGCGATGGGAGCCCCAGCACCATGCTACCCGTTGTTGCGCGACGGGGGCGAACGATTCAGGCATCATGAGCGTGTTTACGCTGGGCCCCATGCGCGCTGCGCTGCCCCAGGTGGCGGCCCGCCCACAGCCGCGTCTGAGCGCGACGCTGCCCGCCTTCACTGGCCTCAGACTAGCCAAGGGCATGCCATGCATGCATCCAGCAGGTCAGTGGCTGCAATGCGCGGTGTGCCGCACTGCACTCGCCAACATGGCCGCTTGGCAGCAAGCCAGCCCGTTCACAAACCCCTCTTCACTGCTCCCCATGTGCAGCCGACACCAGCAGCAGCAGCAGCCTTGACGCCCCGCAGAACGGCGGCAAGGTGTTTGCGATGCGGCACGGCAACAGGCTGGCCCGCCTCGGCCGCCCCGCAGACCAGCGCAAGGCGCTCATCCGCGGCCTGGTCACCGAGGTGCTGCGCCACGGCAAGATTGAGACCACAAAGGTGCGCGTGTTGGGGCCAGCGGTGCAGGACATGCGCGCTGCGGGGCGGGCAGGCGGCAGATCGACGGCGTGGCAGGGTCGCCAATTGAGCGAAGCCGCACCGTTTCTGCAGCACGTCGCAGCAGGCAGTGGCTGCAACCAGCATGCTACAACCAGCACAGCTCGCAGGCAGGATAACCTCTCAGTCACCCCGCTGTGTGTGCCACCCTGCCCCGCAGACGCGCGCCAAGGCCATCCGCAAGTTTGTGGACAAGATGATTGGGCTGGCCAAGGACGGCAGCCTGCACGCGCGGCGGCAGGCGCTGGGCTTCATCTACGACCCGGAGCTGGTCAAGAGCCTGTTTGAGCAGGTGGGTGCCTGGTGGGGTCGCCTGCAGCGGGTGCTTGGAGGCTGGGCCTCACGCTTGGGTGGCGGGTGCGCGCTGCATTGCGTGAGGAGGCAGAAGACGCGCCGTACGCTGACCGGCTGGCCTCGCTGCTCCCCGCTGCTCCTCTGTCCTCCCGCTCGCAGGTGCCCACGCGCTACGGCGAGCGCAACGGCGGGTACTGCAGGGTGCAGGCCGTGGTGCAGCCCCGCCGCGGCGACAACACCGAGATGGCCACCATCGAGCTGGTGTAGCTGCATGTAGGAGAGCCGGCCCGGCAGCTGCACACAGCACATCACCCAGTTTTTAGTTCTCCCCAACTTCTGTAATGTACACCCCAATTGGAATTGCAATCATTGGAACATCGACGCTCAGTTGGTGCCAGGCGGGAGGGCGGCCATGTATGCTGTCTGCGATCATGCGGGTTGCGGCTCACGTTTAGGACGCTCTCAGACGGACTGGGCCTCTGTATGTGTTGGGCCAGAATGCAGGGCGCAGCAATGCTCCAGCGTGCGAGAGCCGGGCCGGCTCGCCTGCAGGTGCGTGACTCTGGCCAGCGCTATCCTCTTCTGGCCTCGTGCAGCAGTGCAACCACAATGTGCCAACTCCGCTTGCCTCTCCCCGGTGTTGGAGTGCAGGCGCCGCAGTGGCGGCGGTGCGTGGTGGCGCCCGCAGCCGCTTCGCGGCAGAAGCAGCAGCGCTTGCAGCCGGCAGGAGGCAAGGGCTTCGGCAAGTCAGCTGCACCGAGCAAGCCCTCTGCTGCCGAGCCGGTGCCAGGGCAGCAAGTGGCAGCACCAAGCAGCAGCAGCGTGGCGGCCCCGCCGCCAGAGCCCGGCGCCACGGCTGCAGCGACACCAAACAGCACCAGCAGCAGCAGCAGTGTAGAGGGAGCAGAGCTGCCGGCGGTCAGCAGGGGCCGCATCTTTGCGGTGTGCGCCCAGGTATCGCTGCTGGTGACGGCGCTGGCGTTTGGACTGCGCCAGCTGGCACCCGCCGTCTCGCCCGCGGTGGGAGATGGGCAGGCGGCGACTGTGGAGGCGCTTCTGAACTGTGAGTGCGCCAGCTGGCTGGCAGGTTTGATACGATAGCTGCAATGCTGTGCATTTGATGCGGGGATTCAGCAGCCGGCAGGCTGCTGTTCTGCTGGCTGGCCCCCGGAGGCCATCGCCGCTCCTGCCCTGGCCCTGCCCCTGTTGCAGGGTCGGCCCTGCCCACCGCCAGCCAGCTAGCGGTGGCGGCGGCGGTGGCGACCGGGGTGACGGGCACCCGCCTGGCGCTGCAGGCGGCCTGGCCAGACTTCAGGGAGGCGAGCGAGCGGTCCAACAAGCAGGTGGGCGTGTATGCATGCCTATGCCTGGAGGGTTTGGGGGGCTGGCCAACAGCCGGATGGGCTGCCAAGGGTGGTGGGCCCTTCCATTGGTGGCAGCCGGGCTGCAGCAGCCGACCGCTCTCCCCACACACGCACTGCGCACTCCCGAAACATGCCCCTCGAGCCACGCACTTGGCCGACCGCAGGTGCTGGCCCCGCTGGCAGCTGGCGACCTACTGTGGGTGGCAGCGCTGCCTGCCGTGAGCGAGGAGCTGCTGTTTCGGGGGGCGCTGATCCCCGCCGTCTATCCCGACTGGTGAGCAGGGCTGGGCGTGGCCCTGGGGCTGGTGCTGGGCTGAGGCGGGGTGCTTGCCCAGCGCTGCTGTGCAGGGGCGGGTTGCGGCGTGGCAGGCTGGGCAGGCGGCTGCACGCTTTTCTGGCAGCCGGAGTGCACCACTTGGTTGCTGCTGCATGCTGCCCCACTTCACGGCCACCCCAACTCCCCCTGCAGGCGTGGCGTGGTGATTGCCGGCCTGGCCTTTGGCGTGCTGCACAACAGCGGCGGGCGCAACCCCGCCTTTGCCGCCTGGGCCTCGTTGGTGGGTTGCGCCTATGGCGCCCTCCTACTTGCCACCGGCTCCGTGGCCTGCCCCGCGCTGGCCCACACCCTGGCCAACGTCGCTTCGGCGGCGGTGTGGAAGGCAGCACACGGCAGCGGCAGCCCCGAAAGCGAGGCATGATGGGCTGTGGTACGGGGCATGCTGGTTGGCTGCTGTGGGCCGCAATCCGCTGGCGTTGCTGTAATGAGCCTTCTACCTCGCCAAAAACAAATGCTGCAATGGGTTGTCTGGCGAGTTTGAAGGGCTCTATGTGAGGAATAGTCTGAGGAATAGAAGGAGGTAAAAAAATGCCAGTCGGTACTAGGTACCGTGCCGCCCGCCTGCTGCCTGCCACGCGCCTGCCATGCCTGCAGGAGCCAGCGCAATGCACTCCACATGCCACACAAGAAGGGCTGCTTGACAACACATCCATCAGCCCCACCACCAATGGGTGGCCGCCCTGCCGAGCGCCAGTCACACTGCTCTCGTCTCTGCACCCTTTGGCGGGAGTTGCGCCCCCGCCGACCAGAGGGACCCTTGAGGCAGGCGCGGCCCGCCGCGTCTGGAAGACTGTTCCGCATCAGGCAGCCATACAATCGAGCCGGCCTGCCATGAACAGGCGGCTCCCTAAACTGGCCCCTCGGCTGAATCCCAACCTGGGTAGTACGTTGTTCGCGGGGGAGTATGTAGCGGCAGAAATGCCCTTCTGCAGTCACACAACCCCCGGTACAACTTCTGTGTCGGGTTGCAGTGGTCTGAGCAAGGGCTGGGGGGCAAAGAACAGAGGGGCCGCGGCTCAGGCCCCATGACAAGGCGGCTAGCGAGGCCGCTTGGCACGCTCCATCTAGCAGTCTTAGGTGGGAGATCGGGGGGGGCAGGGAACGGCGGGACTTGTTCGCTCCTGGGCCCGCCATAAGCTTCTCATCTGCCCGGGCTGGAAGCTGCAACGGGGCCCTCCCCAAGCGGTAACACTCGCCTGGGCGCTTGTGTGCGGCGTCATCGTGACCAAGGGAAGTCTCTTGGTGCCGCAGGATGCCTGCTTGGAGGTAGTGTGTGCTGGGCGGCGGACGTCGGCGATGCCGCCGAGACGGTGGGCGGCGACGGCGAGCAGCCGCGCCACTGCTGGAGCCCCGACAGCGGCGGCGCAGGCCACTACGTCCCTGACCAGGTGCTGGTGAAGTTCAAGCATACTCCGGGGGCGGCGCGCACGGCGACGGTGCAGGCGCGGCAGCCGCTGTTGCCCAGCCTGCGGCTGAGCCGGCTGGGCGGCGAGCACCACGCCACGGTGCTGCCACACCACGTCGCGGCATCCAAGGGCCGCACCCTGTCTGCCGCCGAGGCCAGCGCAGCGCCAGACGTGCCCTCTGAGTCCCTCATGCTCTACAATATCGTGGATGGCAGCAGCGTGCCAGACGTGGTGGAGCGGCTGTGCCAGCATCCAGGTGCGTTCTTTGCTGGTCCGCATCAGAGGCAGCACACACACGTGCACGGGAGCAGCATGAGCGGCCAGCCTTCTCTTGCAGCGTTTCGGCTCCACAAG